TAAACGTATTACCTTCTTGACAATCTGAATATGAGTTCCTTGTCTTAACCTCAGACAGTCTTGCCTTTAACCGAAACTTCGATCTTTCGATCGAACGTCGATAAATTTGCTTCTTCCGCTTTCCATATGTCGCCGAGCGTCGAGACTCAAGACTCAAATTATTACCACCGAAAGAGAGAATTGTCTCTCGAGAGTCTCGAGGAAGGGTGCAGCAACAACGAGGATTCGACGATCGATCGACGGCCACGTGATCGAGAAACAATCGACGTTGTAAAACGGATGGTAAAACGGTTTGTCGTTTGATTTCAGTCGAAACTGAACTGCGAAGTTCTGGAGGACAGGCTGGCTTTCGAGGTGCGGTGGGCCGTGGCCGGAGACAGCATAGTCGCCCAACTCGTTGGAAAACTTGGTGAGTATATATTTCCGAGCTGTCCGCGCGCGCGTCTCACAAAAGGACAAAACTTCTATCGCATTTATTGAAAGCCGCGTGAATTTATACCTGCCGCCAGCCGAAGATCCGGCCCAACTTTTAATTAACAATACTTCGGCCCCCGCGTCGCCACCACACCACCGTCAGTTCCGTTCAACGCAGATAACACATTATTTCAGTTTTACACCATGTTTCGTTTCGTTGATATAAACACGATACATACGTATTCGTGTTACTCACCAAATACATGTATATGTAGATATACTAATGTACGTACGTTGCACGAACGAGGTCATTAAAATATAATTTTCCTTTCTATTTGTACGACACCGATCGTGCACCCCATTTGCCCCCCCCCCCTTTGTCAAATCTAATCGCTCTTGCGGAAGAAAAACCAACCACCAAAAAGTGCGTTTCACACTCTAATTAACCGCTTGACCGCGGTTTAAACGAACCGTTGGGTGAATTCGGTGCCGAACCGCGTTTCTCGATATTCACGAAATGACGAAGATTTTCCTGTGCCAATTGAGTATCATAACGGTGGAGATGAAATTTCAAACTGTTTCATATACTACAATATGTATTTATATATGCAAATAGTGTATGAAACATTTAATATATATATTATAGTATATTAGTATTTAATACTAATGTAAGACTGATATTAAAATAAAATTGTTTAATTTATATTAGCATTTAATGTCAATATAATATATAATATATATATACACTATAATATAGATTAATTGATTGATTAATAGACTAGATATAGCACTCATTATGATTAAATATAATAGGACGTACAACTCGACCGTAAAATTCAAAAAGAAATTGTTACATTTCCAACATAGTCGAATCTCGTTGATTCAAACAGTACGACTGGTCGAACGTTCGACCATTCTTTCTTTGACATACATATGTATGAAGTTTACCCACAAGTCAAAATTGGATCCTGGATATAAAATGAGTAGCTTTAATATCTTTAACGTATTATAGAAAGTGTTATATTTTTCTATATTTTTCTGAAAATTCACGAATTTCAATAAATAATATTCATTCTAAGAGCACCTGTTATGTTGTTCACAGACGACGGGCAATACATGGCATTCGGATTATCGGCGAACCCCGAAAGAAGCTTAATGGTCGGTGGGGATGTCGTGGTCGCCTGGGTCGACAAACAAACCCTTCAAGGCTACGCTGTCGACTACTTTTTGGACGCGAAGTCTCAGTGCTCCGGAGGACGAGGCAGCTGTCCCGACACCCGCATACAGGTTCGTATTTCAGCATCAGCGTCCTCCTAATCACTCGTCCTATTGTCACCTGTTAGCAGTCAGAATGTTCGAACGTCGCGCCATCGGTTTACATTGAACTTCCTCCCGGGCGAATTGCCACTTTGCAGGAGAACACGAATTCTATCCGATTGTTGAACGCGGCGCTGGTGGACGGATATAGCATTGTCACGTACCAAAGACCGCTGAAGACGAACGACGAGCTGGACCATCAAATTCTGACGAACGGATCGCAGGCGATCATCTGGGCCATCGGCCCGCTGAACGAGAGGCAAGAGGTCAGCTTTCACTCCGACTATCTGAAAACCGACCGCCTCATCGATTTCGGTAGACCGCCCGTTTGGAATTGTCCCGTTCCGGACCACGAGCATTCTCAGATTTTCGTCGACAATAACGGCGACGATAACAAGGGCAGCGACAATCAGGTATTTCATCACGTATGGCCTCGACACACATCTTGAGATTCCGTCTCAAAACATTGCACGAGATAGTTGAACCCTGTTGCGTAATACGCGTGGCAACGTATTATAGTATATTTAGAACGTAGACGAGGGAGGAACGAGGTGTAGTAATAACTTTTTTAATAAAGCTTTGATGAAACGACCTGTATTTTATAAAATAGCAGCTAGTTGTTACTACGAGGAGACCTCAGCGTTTAGCGACGCCCGCACCGGCGCCTAGAAACGATGCCTGGGAAATTCCACCTATTCAATGTTACGAGCCCGAAGACGGGGTGTTGTACGCTCAGATGGGACCTACTGGAGGGAAACACGGCTATCCCGCTATCACCGGTAGGAAACGTAGATTAACGAAGATATTACTACACGACAATGTTAAAAAAAAAAAAAAAAAAAAAACGGAATTTGATCGTATAGATTGCGTTACGGCGACAAAGTTGGTATTTACTGGATTAATGATTAATTGACGAATTAATTGTGTAATTGATATTGATTTTTAAACCTATACGATTTGCTCAGGCCACGTTGGTTGGGGAATCTCGTGGTACATAAATGGTCTGTTGATTCCGGAGATCAACGTCGTTCGCGGGAGAAAATACAGGTTCGTGGTAGAAGGAGGGGAAAATCCCGATACTCCGGCTCGTTATCATCCCTTCTATATTACCGATGACCCCGTCGGTGGATACCAGCACAAGACACCCGAGGAGAAAGCCGTAAGCTAACTTTCTCTTCTCGCTTTCATGAATATTGATAACTCAATAAACTGACAAGATTGAACTGAAAAAGTGATCTTTCTTGGCAAGCAGAAGGTGAAAATATTTGCGGGTGCACAACGACAGCGCGGAGTGTATCGACCAACGGGAGTTGGACGTCTGTGCAATTGGGTGCCAGATCAAAATCAGCCCCTGGCGGATGAATTCTCGTCGTTTGGCGCTTATCAACGCACGCTGACTCTGGAGTGTGATCACGGTGTGCCAGGTGTCGTGGAATGGACTCCAGACGAGAACACGCCCGACACCGTGTACTATCAAGTAAGTCAGTGCGAGAATTAGATCAGGTCTCTTGCACAGTAATTCAATTAGCTAATTGTATCAGCTTGAATTGATGACAAGTGTGATTCGTATAAATTTCTTCTGCTTTGTTATCACATCTGATCAGTAGCTTGTGACTTGTAAAATTTCGCTAGTTAGAGTTAATTCGGTCGCGCAAGAACAAGATGCTCATACGATTGTTCAGTGTTTCACGCATCGCTATCTGGGATGGAAGATAAACGTTCACGACAATTGCGATAACGCTGGCGAAGCTGCCGGCAGCGAGAACTACGAGGTCTACGTGGACCCGAAGAATCAACGACCGGCAAGCGGAGACCTGCAGAACAGTCCGAGCATACGTGTGTCGAGCAAGGTAACGCCAACGGCCGAGTTTCTCCAGCAGACTCAACATCCTCATCATCCCCATGGTGAACACGGGCTTCGTTACTCTTATCATCCAGCGACTAACCCTGACAAGCTAAGCACATCATACACGCAGTTACTAACGACCGCTAACAACGACGATTACGTCCGCTTGAAATCATCGCCGCCGTACGAGGAGCCATTCACATCGAGACCGTCGTACAGCACGCCCGGCCACGATGTTCCGCCGCATCGTCACGAGGTACGCGTGAAGGAAACGCATCACGTGCACCTCGACGAGGATCTCATGCAGCAGCATCACAATCATCATCATCATCATCATCATCATCATCACCAGCAGCTCGCACCGATTTATCGCGAACAATCGACAGGAGTCAGCAGGCTGACCTCCTCCTACCCTCCTGGCCGACAGCAAATCATGGAGATCCAGCCGGAACTCATTCGACAATCCTCTAACCAACAATTGTCTAACCTCGTTGCAGATAATCCACGACCACTGAGCCACGGGATGAAATACACTTATCCACCTACCGCAAGTCCACAGATCCTATATGCCAGGCCGGTGCCTCAACATTACGCGTCCAATTACCATCACCTTTATCATCTGCCCCTTCCACACCACTATCATCACCATCAACCGGACCAGAGGACCCAACTGATGATCATCAAGAGACCGGTGTTGACACGTCGACCGATGTTGCAGACCGTGCACACGATGCCTCAGCCCACCCTCCCCCTACCCTCGAGATCGGTCTTCATGGAACGGAAAAAGGCCGTTTACAGGCCTCTTTCGTCCTCTTCCGTCTACGGGAAAAGAACGGCGGAGAGACACGGCCAAGGAAACGATAACCACCAGATAGTCAAGCTCAAGAAACTCGATTCGAAGCAACGAGCCAAGCTAGAGACCAAAGTGTCGAGCCTGGACATCCCCAATATCTTCGTCACTCCCTTAAAGCCCGCGAGAAATACAGGATTTGACCCGGACTCGATAGTGATCGAGAGTGGTTTCAAACCGATCATAAGAAGCATAGAGAAACCGACAGACGTGGCTCAGAAGAGAACGTCCGAGAAACTGGAGCAGGAAGAAGACGTTCGTCTTCGAGAAACTTCGAACCATAAACCAGCCGATAACTTCGAGCCGGTCTTCATACCCTCGCCGCCAGTCCCGACAGTTGCGACGATGAAAAAGTCGAAGAAGAAGTCGATCAATGGTAAAACGCGTCCGAGTGACGCGGACGACATGGAAATGGCTGCCGATAGAATGAACGCTTATTACTTGCCGCCGCTTTCCAGCCAATTTCCGAACAATCCGCCACCTTCGCTTTCGCCCTCGTCCTCGTCCGAGGTGCTCATCACCTTCGATGGAAAACCGTTGAAGGACTCCAGTTTGGTCAGATCCATTTCTAGTATCGAGGAACACTCGAAAAGTAAACTGTCTTCCGACATTCTGAGCAGAACGCCACAATTTGGCAAATTCAAGGGGGAGCTACCGCCTCCGATTCCCGGTGAAGTTCGATCGGATCGTTCTCAGCTCGAGAAACGTCGTCTCCCGTCGCCGGCGGATTTGCCCGAGATCAGAACGAAAAACACGAAACTGACGCTCGTCGAAAGATCGAAAAGATCGCCGCACGAAGGACACGTACACGTTACAGATTCTCGAACGAATAACACGAACGGAACGAGTCACCACGAGCATCACGATCATGGGAAGTCTATGTCTATGCCTGTCAACGCCGGTCAAACGATCGTAGCTAATTTAGTATACGTACTTTTGGCCGTAGTGGTTTATCACGTTATTTGATAAAGCTGCTTTCCCGGAATGCGTAACCGAGTGCCGGAAGCTAATTGGAAATAGAATATAAAGGAACGTTAGTTACACTTGTAAACTACATACTTGGAATGATTAGTCGACTGAATCATGATTGACACGTGCGCATTCTTTCTGATCCAGGAAGACTAATATACACGGATGTACGTGATGTATACGTGACGTAGCGATGTAATCGACATGATAACACGGGAGAGGAATATAACTAACCACGAAATAATGATTTTCCTTTTTTTCTTTTTATTTATTCAGCTATTTATTAACGAATTATTGTCCCTTATTGTACGAGATAGAACGTCTAACTATTTGTTGCAGTACCAAATCATCTGTACGTCGGTTATCGAACAAATTAGACGATAGTTAATACTGTTCGCCAGATCTTCAATTTTTTTTTTTTTCTTTTTTGTTTAACGAGAACTTCATATCTTGAATTATTCAAAGCAAGAGTAAAACATTTCTAACTTTATAAGGTGCAAGAAGGAATAATAAATGTATTTTTATTATTCTACGTGCTATGACGACGGTTTGTTGAATCTTAAGGTATATTATATATTTGTACATAAGTTAAATTAATTGTTAATAAAGAGATTGTATAAGGTTCTCTCAAGCCTCTCGATTTTAATTATCAGATTCCTTTCGATTTGAAGGCAACAACAGAAGAACTGACTCATTCTCGTCGAATCAAGGATTTTTTTTCTTTTTTTTTTTTTGTCTGTTTTGTTAACGACAGGAAGCTCGATTCAGACCGACAACGGACATTAAGCAATATTTTATTGTATAGAAAAAGAAAACAAACAAATCTTACAAAACAATCAGCACACTATCTACTGTACACGATTGTATAGTTATAATATAAAGAGCGTAGAGACGGCGAAACGGCCGCTAATTATTTCTGAAACAATTCGTCGACTGAAACGCGATAAGCAGAGCTACAGCGTTCTCCATAAACGTTAATTCTTTCCAATGAAATGGAAAACAACGAACGAATCTGTATCTGCACGCGCAATCGACATATCGTTAAAAATCCCCTTTTAAGTAACCATTGATGGCACGCGACGCGACTGACCTGTTTGCGTTGACAATTTCGCAAAACTCGCATCGAATGAAATTAAGCAATTATCACGACATTCGCGTGTATTCGTTTCAAAATTGCATCATATTTTTCAACTTTTTTTTCCTTCTTTTTTTTTTTTTTTTAAGCAGATTAAAACTTTCCCGTAGAAATACTCAGTATTACTATGAATATATCGAAACTCACACGAAAAGTGACCGTTTCCACAATTGACGAACTTCGCGATTTCGACCATATACAAACTGCTTCCTCTCAAAACATCGTCATTTCGAGTGACTCGCTTTTACCTTAAAAGTAGTACGTCATTTTCCACGCGTAAATATCATCGTATCTGTTATTACATCTATATTGATAACATATATCTATAGTTGACAATATATTTACATATGTTACACGATTTCTTTCCTACTTAACAATACGAATTTAAGATGTTCCATGGAACATTGAGTCAGCGACGAACAGGAACATCCATTTCGATTCTACGATCGGGATGTGCCTCAATTCCGCATATAAAGTGTTTACGTCGTAAAATCGAATTCACCCTGTGAAGCACTATCAAAAAAAGTGTTTCTACAAAAATGTCTAGGTAATAAGGAGCGTATCGTGTGCAAATTTATTTTTCTAGAAATAATATAGATTTATTTAGGATTCATTTCTCTAAAAAGGTATTATATATTAATTCGTGCCGATTTGCAAAATTTTGTGAAATTAAACTCTATCGTGTGAAAGATAAGAACGATATTCTTGTGTTCGTCATATCCTCAACTTTACAAGATTAAAATATTTCGCTAAAACCAATACTTCTTCGGGGTAATATTTAACAATAATTTTTTACAAGTTACCTCATCTGTAGCAAAAAGATAATCTAATATCACACGATACGTCTCTTTATACCAAACAATGTTTGAATGAAACTTAACAATGAAAGCCTAAGAATGTTTCTTTGATAGACACCTTGCGAGATATTTCGATTTTGCGAAGTAAAGGGAACGCTTTGTATTTATATAACATGTATTTATATATAATCGCACAAATTTGACTCAAACAAATACAAACATTTGTTCATTAATTCCATTCATATTGTTTGCATTTGCTTTGAGCCTATGAGCAACGTCGTCCTTTATTTTTTCTTACATTATCCAGCTTGAAAATCCATCGAATTTCATTCGCTTTTCGTTTCGATAACAGTCGCGAGAAGGCCTCGTTTGTCTCGGTAAGCTGCAACACAAGCTTCAATACATTGAATCATTTCATGATTGGTTGAAATTTCGAATACTTATTATTAATCACGCGACACGCAGCTAAGAAATATAATACTAACGACAACGCCAATGATACGTGTTTCAGCGAGGTCAATTTTCTCGTATAATAATTTCATTCTATGGTATTACTGCTCTTCCCCCTCTTATATCCTAACTGATCGCTATTGCAAATGGTTCACCATAATAACCATCCCTACGATCATTGCCAAACGAAACAGAAAGATGCGAAATCGGTTGGAATAGAAGTATTTTGATCCCAATCTTGCAAATGATAATGCAATCATTTTTCATGATGGAACGTTTCTCAATTGATGGAATGTTTCTTTTTTTCGCACTTTTGCTTCCTACGTTTTTTCTATGGCGATACAAAACGGAAAGTACTCTGCCACGAACTTATCGAAACTTTCCAATGAAAACATATATTTATCGTTAGTAAAAAATACTACGCTTTCCGCGAAATCAGTTTCCTAGATGAATTGATCAACTTCATTAAACGATACTTAAAACAACGTCATGACTGCTTCCTGTTTAAATCACTAGGGAAAGATATAATTACATATAAAATAACTTACACGTTTGATCGCGCGTTACGATTAAAAAAGAAAAATCGGCACGTGACACATGATAATTCGATGCAAATAATTAGCTTAGTACAAAACGTCGGATTCTTGGCGAATCATATTTGCTAAAAAAAAAAAAAAAAAAAAAAAAAAAA